TTTTTCTATCTCTCTCCCCACATGTGGTTTCGGCCATCACAACCGCCACTAATGAGTAGCGCCTATAATTACAGCGTAACTTTTTGTGTGATCAATGTGGGATGTTCGGCAAAGCTTATCTTATTTTGTTCCCGAACTTTTAATCGATATGTACAGTCGTTCAACTCTAGAGAGTGACTGATTAGCTGCGCAACCAACACCGTAAGGCAACCCTGCTGCCTTTGGGTTCGCGCGAAATGCACTGTCTATGATGGTATCAATTCAACCATTGCAGGAGCTGCAACGTACAGAACAGTCGCGGCGGCCCAGGCGGACATGACAGAAGGAACTGTACCAAGGCGGTCTAGGGTTGGCCTCAGTTCCGGCGGCGAGGAGGAGGAGTCGGAGCAGCGTGGCCGGGAGGGGCTACTCCGTCATCAAAAACATAGGTTGGGAGGAGGGGACGGTTGATCCAACGAAGGGAGATTGGTGTAGCAGACCTTGGTCGCCATGAGGCGGGTGAGAACGGGATGGAGACGCATCTGCTGTGGTTGCCGTCTCTGATGGTATCAATCCATGGTGTTTACTGGTTTATTTTTAAAAGTTTCGTTTGTACCGACACGCGTGCGTTATTTCGCACTCGACATGCCTTACAGTACACAGGGTACAGCAATTCTGAAGATATTTGCAGGGATAGTGAGTGTGAGTTACGGTATAAATAGCTGATATTTGACCCTCTGCCCTTGTTCTAGTCTGGTCGGCGCACATAAAGTTTATTTCGTTATAGTGTGGCTATCTTGACCCGCTTACCCCGACTTGGGATCGCATTATCCATCGTTCATACTCGCTTAAGTGTTGACCTTCAATAATAACACGTGCAGCCTTTGTCGCGCGTCTTTTCACTTCTGTACAAACCAGCCAATCGTTGTGCAGTGCCGTAGTGGTCCTCACCTCGCGGACATTTTCAGCCCCTCCTTGTCATATTTATGAGGGATGACCCTACCAGTGCGGCTATCCTGCTTGGCTTATCTTGGCTTGGGATCGTAATATCGATCGTTCATACCCGCTAAACAGTCTTAACGCCCTGCTGGCATTCCTTCTAGTCCACAAGTTGTCCTGACTAGCCTGGCGCACATTACAGGAAAGAAGAAAGTCGCTGTCAGGTGGTGAAAGAATGCAAATTCATTCTGGGGTTTTCATTTTCACAGTTGTACAGAA